GCCTTGTGAAAGATGAGTTACATTCCTGCTTTCTTTTGGCTTTACTGTTCTTGATGTATTTTGAAAAATTATCTTTCTTTTCAATTAAAACTTTTTATACATCAATTTACATATTTAAAGTTCACCTCTATTTCTGCTCTTTCTTCTTGCAATTATTCTAGAATGAGAGTCTTTGACTTAGTGGAAAATCCAGCAACCAAGTCAATCGAAGGCATGCAAGATACTTTCTAGAAAAGATTCATTTTTATCATGAATGATTTTATACAAAATTGTGAATTCTTCCTGTGAGAGCATTTCCTTCTGGCCAGACATAATAGGCAATCATTATGATACTATTGTCGTTATTGTTACTTATGCTATTGCATGGCAAGCCCTTTTTACTTGCGTTCATCTCCATGTTTCCCCATTTTGTTGATCTAAGGTTCGGGATCATGCAAGGAAACTTTTAGAGAAATACATAAGGAAACCGTTCTTTGACTCAAGGTGAGTTTAGTTGGTATGATTTTCCATTATTGCTCTTCTAGCATTGTTAGATCTAGAAATTTTTTTATACCTGGAAATTATTTCCAAACTTAATTTGTAACTGCTTGTAAGTTGTAAGAGGATGCTTATAATTTTTGGTTCACTTCGACCTTATAATTGGCTAGCAACAGGACATGTAAGAAAAAGATAAAGAATTTGGAACTCAAATGTTTATGGAATGAAATGATCAATTAGAAAATATCCTGGATTTTGAACAATGTTATAGCCATAATATTTTAACTTATTGTATTTATCAAAATAAGACTATAATGATTGCTTAATTAGTTATAGCCAAAGTGATGATGATGTAGAACAAGTATTGTAAAACCAATTCACTCAAGATATAATCTGAAATCTCAATCAAAGTTCTCTAAAATTCAAATATCTGAAAAATCAATAACTCAATTATTCATTAAATCCAAGCCTACTTGAAATTAAAATAAAATAGGTATTTATAACTGAATTCTAAACCCTAATAAAACACAAAATGCCAAATATATCCCTAAGACTATAATACTTGAAGAATAACTAAAATACTAAATATTACAACATAGCCAAAATATTTGTAAATTACAATCATACACAGAAAAAATAATATGAAGTCCTAGAAAATTTAATCCCTCAACTAGCATATCATCCTCCATGAAAAGTTGAGTAAATTGCGTAATACCTGGAAATAATGCATATTCTTATCTGTTTGCCTGGAGTTTCTTTGAGCTACCTCGTTTTGATTTTATGACCAACAGTTGGTTCATTTGCTACTCTTGCTGACTACAGCTATGGAAGCTCTGTTGAAAGAATGAGTGTAGAGGAATTAGAGAAAGGGAAGAAATGGTTGAGTGACACATTTTATCTCGTAAGGTAAGTTGAACACTCTAAATTACATGGTCAGTGTCCTCTGAGTACAAGTTTTGGACAAATGTTTGTTGATATTATTAGGTACTCATGCTGATTGAGACTTTTAGTTTTTCATTTTTTTTTTTTCAAATTGTTGGTTATATGCCTCTGAAATATCTTTATTTTCTAGATTTTTTTAGAGAGAGAAAAGGTGGGGTTGAATTTACTTCTCCGTTTAGGATTGGATGCTTCTAAAACTGAGGCCTTGTCTGTTCTGATTGTTGTGCTGCTACTTTTAATACTACCTATCTCGTGGGTTCGGAAACAGGTGTGAGAATGATTCTCTTCCAAGTATAAAGTGGGTTCTTGATCTTGCAAAGGCAGCGGTACTCAGGCATGGGGTACGGGGGCTTTTAATTGATCCTTACAATGAACTCGATCATCAGCGCCCAGTTAGTCAGTGAGTCCTTTTTATACCATGCTACCTTTGCCTCATTTTTTTCCTTTTGTATAGGCAGCCTCCTTCCATTTTCCACAATAGTATAGTGTGACACCTTTTCTGTGCATTGGATGCTGGATTTTCCATGAAATAAATGTATATGTTGAAATTTTTTGTTCAGCTTGATAGTTGGTAAGTTCTGGGACAACCATTTCTTTAAATTCAGAGCAACCTATTTTTTTTTTTTTTAATCTTTGATAGAAGTATTCAAAAAGTTGTCTTAATTCTTTTTGACTTTTTAACCTTTCCATTTGCAATTGTCTTTTGAGCTGTAAATCATTCCCTACTTATATTTGTAATGCTAGTGTAATTTTATAAGTAACATTATATTAGATAGCTCCCATATGATGCTCTAATTTGTTTCTTACCTTCTATCCAAATAAATGAGGTAACGTTGTTAAGAACTTTTCTTTTTAAGATGTCACCATCATAATCTTCATTTTGCAATGCTCTAGCTAAAATTGTATCTTTACATTTATTGACATAATTTCAACATAACAGGACTGAAACAGAGTATGTCAGCCAGATGCTTACGAAGATCAAACGATTTGCTCAGCATCACTCTTGTCATGTCTGGTTTGTTGCACATCCAAGACAGGTTGGTCACAGCGATTTATCTTTTGTTGCTTGATATCTCCTTTTTCTATTTAATGTAGCTCCTTTTCCTAATTTAATATTTGTCTGTAAGTTGCACCATTGGATTGGGGCTCCTCCGAATCTCTATGACATCAGTGGAAGTGCACACTTTATAAACAAATGTGACAATGGGATTGTTATTCATCGGAATCGGGATCCTGAGGCTGGGCCTGTTGATCAAGTACAAGTGAGTATTGTCACAAGGTTGTCTCTTTGCAAGCAATCTTCTAGTTTTTCTTATTGAAATATGCTTTTGCAGGTTTGTGTACGGAAAGTACGAAACAAGGTTGTAGGAACTATAGGTGATGCATTCTTGTCTTATGATAGGTACATGATTTTACTCTGTAATTTTTCCTTTGGTATTTTTCCCCTTAATAGTTTTAGTTCTATGGTTTGTGTGTGTGTGGGTTTTTGGGGGAGGGGGAAGGGGTTTGGGTTTGTTAGATGGATAAACCTGACTTGATTAGAGACACAAAAGAATTAACATTAGGTTGGGCGCTCAGATGATTACCAAGACCTGATGAAGCAATTATTACAATTCAGTGCTTGAAATAACAGGTAGTTCATTGTTGGATTTGTTTGGGGAAGTCAGAGAAGTAAACCTAACTCGATTATAAACAGAAAAGGGTTAAAAGTAGGTTAGACAATGCTGTTGGAGCAGTCAGACCATCACTGTGTCCTGATGAAGCAAGTAAAATGATGCAGAACTTGAACAGGAAATAATAGGTACTTCACTGTTGGACTGGGGAGTTTCCGGTTCAACTAACTACTTACCAACCTCTAACTTTTCTGAAGTGATGTTCTACCACTACCATACTCAAGGTCGATCTGGAACCAGCATCTCTAACGTATTTGTGAGTTTGAGAACATATTAGTGATTGGCTGGAAGGACTTTATGTCATAATATGCATAACCAGTGAAAATGAGAATGGAGGCCTTATGCATTGTTGATAAAATGCATTATTGAATTGTCATATATGCACTTCTCCCCTCTCTGGCTAACTTTTCAGGGCTAGTTATTTACCTTTTAGGCACAAAATTTTGTTTATCACACATACCTTCCTGGTTGCTGAAAATAACATTAAATCAGAATATATCAAAACTAGCTACTTGGAACACTGTGGGCTATAACCTGTCAGATTTTGCACCTCTTATTGTGTGTAACTGTAGTTATTGTTCATATTGGTTTCTATTAATTAACCTTGGCAGGGTGACGGGTGTATATATGGACATTGATGAACCACAAAAGAAGCAATAGGTCATCATGCTTGTGTAAGTGGTGGCTACAATTTTGTATAGTGTGGATTATGATGACTTAGGGGCATCAGGAATCTTATTTCTCAATGAGGTTGGTCCATTGGAAATGTTGCTGTGGGTTGCGACCACAGAGCTAAGGCTTATGATGTTGCAACGGTGCTAAACAGCAATCAAGCATACAAGAGTTCACGCGGTCATAATTGTTGAGATCCGTGTTGAATTTTTGTACCATTTTAGAAATTTCTCTTGCTGATCTATTTGCTGTAAACATATCTTTGTAACATCAGATTATTTTGTAGCCTCCTCTGTTTCTTCTATTTTAAATGCACCTTAGTTAATAGCAGAGGTCAGGCAGCAGCATGATATGAGATGATCCCTCATGTTTCTTCTCTTCATCCCAAGTATCTGCCTGTGTCCACTAGTTGCATTTGTTTGTCCATTAAATTTTTGATACATCACACTGTTTTAGAGAAGATTCTGTTGTGGCAGTTTTATTAAATCAGAATTCAATTCAGATTTCTGTTCTCCAAAATCAGAATCGACCACATGAGAATGCAATGCAACTGCTACTATGCTTCGTCAACTACAGGGACCAGAGAGCCAACTACTACCCAATGATTGCCTAAAGAAACTGAGCTGGAAGCCCTCTACAAGCCAGTGATGGCATGCCAAATGGCAGGATATTCCAGGATAGCTGTCAGTTTATACTAGGAAAATCTTGGGCTGCGCTGCGGACAGAACTCATGGGACCTACAAGAGCTGTTCCAACTCCATAACTGCAGCAATGCAAATGGTGCCTGAAAACATAAATGAGTTAAGGCCAGCCTACATGCACAACATGCTTTCCCATTAGCAAAAACAACAGAAAAACACCCTTCTTGTTTTTTAATCTAGGATGCCAGCTTTACCAATACCAGCTGGCTCTTAAGTTTAAATCCTCCTTGACTGCACCTGCACATGGAAAAGTAACTTCTTGTTTGTAACACAAACTTTTTGACTTGGGGGTGAGCAATTGTCGATTAAAATCAAATTAAAACAAGGGTTTGATTAATTAGATTATTAAATTAATTTAAAAATAAACACGACACGATTAAATTGATCAATTCAGTCTGTAAAATTTGGGTTACCCCATTTCCTGCCGAGCTTTTCTTAACACAAAATCAATGGGTTGGGGCCCAAAAGGATTCTAGAAAGCGGAAATAATGCTGGCCTCCAGCTTAGCAAAACCCTTGGGGAAAGAATTCCCAACGGCTCTCCTCTGCGGTGGATCCAGACAAGTTACCGTTGCTGGGTCCCCATTTTTCTGATTGTCTGAATGTTTCTTTCAAAAACGTATAACCGTTGCAGCTCCCCCACTTTTCTTTCTCTTCAAAACAACTAATACAGCAAGCAAGCAGCCATCCATTGCAGCAGCACGAGAAGAGAAAAAAGAAAAGAATTTGAAGCTAAATCCAAATTTAAAGGTGTGGGTTTTGCTTTCTCTTTTCTTTTAAGTTACCTTTTACGTTTTCCTCTTCAGGTTTGTTTCAGCAGCTTGGTTATTTATACATAGCAAGTCATGGTTGTTGAGGTTAAAGTTGATGAAACCCAGGCGGGTCAGGTTTTTGTCACTGAAGAAGAGCCCAAGAAGGTTGCACAAGATAATGGGAAAGTTGTTGACAGTGAAATAGATGATTCCAAGCCCAAGACAGTTGAGAAGAGCTCTTCCTATAGGGAGGAGAGCAATTTCCTGTCTGATCTCAAAGAGTTTGAGAAGAAGGCTTTGAGTGAACTGAAATCGAAGCTCGAAGAAGCCATTCTTGGAAATAGCTTGTTAAGGAAACAAGAGCCAGAAAAGGATGAGAAGCCCAGTGATGAGAAGGAAGAGAAGGAAAAAGAAGTAGCAGAGGAGAAAGAGAAAGAAGAGGAGGCAAAAGGAGGAGAAGAAGGCGAAAGCCCGGTGGGAGAAGAGGAAGCAAAACCAGAAGGAGGTGAGGAGGAGAAAACAGCCCAAGAATGTGAAGAGAAGAAATCTGACGAACAAGGCATAGAAATCAAAAAGGATGTTTCCATTTGGGGAGTCCCTCTTTTACCTTGCAAAGGCGGAGAGGCTACTGATGTAGTCTTGTTGAAGTTCTTGAGAGCTAGAGAGTTCAAGGTCAATGATGCCTTCGAGATGCTTAAAAATACCCTGCAATGGCGGAAGGGTGGCAACATCGATTCAATCTTGGACGAGGACTTTGGGGCTGGTCTAGGCTCCGCCGCTTACATGAATGGCATTGATAAAGAGGGCCATCCCGTTTGTTACAACATCTATGGAGCGTTCGAGAATGAGGAGCTTTATAAGAAGACATTTGGGACAGAAGAGAAGCGCGGGCAGTTCTTGAGATGGAGGTTTCAGCTGATGGAGAAGGGCATTCAGAAGCTTGATTTGAGGCCTGGTGGTGTCACTTGTTTGCTTCAAATCAATGATCTCAAGAATTCGCCAGGGCCCTCAAGGAAAGAGCTAAGGGTTTCCATGAAGCAAGCTGTTGGAGCCTTACAGGACAATTATCCTGAGTTTGTGGCAAGGAATGTAAGTTCTTTTTAATTTGTCAAATTTACATATTAGATTGAGATATTTAACTAGAATTCTTTTATGGCGGTCTGAGTTTTGATGCATGGCGTCTGCTCTTTCTGGTAACCGGGTAACTCTTGTTACAGATATTTATAAATGTTCCATTCTGGTACTATGCCCTCAATGCCCTGCTATCTCCTTTCTTAACACAAAGGACTAAGAGCAAGTTTGTGGTGGCTCGCCCGGCCAAGGTCACCGAAACCCTTCTCAAGTAAGCAGCATTTTCATATCTTTCACCCCTATCCAAATTCCGAAGTTCAGCAGAAACTGATAAATTGTTTTATCTTGATCCTTTAAAGGTACATTCCTGCCGAGGATGTCCCCGTACAGTATGGTGGGTTCAAGAAGGAAAATGAGTTTGAGTTCTGTGGCCAAGATGCCACTGTTACAGAAATCATTGTCAAGGCTGGATCAACCAAGACCATTGAGATACCTGCTGATGAGGTATAAATAGAATCCAGCTCAAGATCTTCATTAATTCTATTTTCAGGCTCCCTTGGTTGGTTTGGTTGAGAACCGTTTCCTTAATGCGTAAATGATTGATTCTTACAGGTTGGAAGCACATCAATTTGGGAGCTGATAGTTTTGGGTTGGGAAGTAAATTACAAGGCTGAGTTTGTACCATCAGACGAGGGATCTTACACTATCATCGTCCAGAAGAGCAAGAAGATATCAGTGTCACAGTCGCAGGAAGGCCCCATCGGCAACACCTTCAGGAACAATGAACCAGGGAAGCTGGTCCTCACTATTGAGAACACTTCCAGCAAGAAGAAGAGAGTTCTTTACCGCTACAAGACCAAAAAGAGCTCACCCTTTTGAAGACAAATCTCATTTGCATTTTGCTTCCTTTCCATTCTCTTGGTTTGTGAGAGAAACTTGGAGAGATTATTTCTTATTATATTCTTTTCAGATAGTGAGAGACTACTAAAGCTTCATTCTTTATGCA